GTGGTACATATACACAATGGAATACTATTCAGCCATAAGAAAGAAACAAATCCTACCATTTGCAACATGGATGGAGGTAGTGGGTATTATGCTCAGTGAAATAAGTCAGGCAGAGAAAGACAAATACCAAATGATTTCCCTCATTTGTGGAGTATAACAATGAAGCAAAACTGAAGGAACAAAATAGCAGTAGACGCACAGACTCCCAAGAAGGGACAAGTGGTTACCAAAGCGGAGAGATGTAGGAGGGCGGGTGGCAAGAGAGGGAGAAGGGGATTGTGGGGTATCATGATTGGTGCACATGGTGTGTGTGGGGTCAGGGGGAGGACAGTGTAGCTAAGAGAAGAGAAATAGGGACTCTGTGGCATCTTACTACACTGATGGACACTGAGTGCAATGGGGCATGGGGGGCTCGATAAATAGGGGTGAATGTAGTAACCACATTGTTTTTCTGTTTTTCTTGTGAAGCCTTCATAAGAGTGTATATCAATGATACCTTAAAATAAATAAATACAGTGCGTGAGAAAAAATATTTTCGTAACCATTTAAAAAACCATTAAAAAACAAAACATTATTATATCATTACCATTAAAATATCATTGAAAAATAAAGCATTCATTTGAATCCAAAGCAAAACCTTTTCTTTTTAAATTCCAGTTTTTCATTCACACCAGTTCCCATCTAGAAAAATGCCAAAAAGGTTACCGTGCCAGAAGTCTGAGAGATCTTCCTTATTTCTACAAGCAGTTTTTGGTTTGTTCTAGAAAAGAAAAGCAATTGCCTAAGAGGTAGCTCGGAATGCACCGCAGCAGAAAAATATTTGGGAGGATAAGTTTCTCTTCCATTTTTTTCCCTACCGACTTATCGACAGTACAATCCTGACAGTGACCGCCCTGTTTCCCAATACACTCCAGAGAAGCACAGGACACGCGCCAAATTTCATTATACGTTTCTAAAACGACAAGTTTTACTTTGAAATGCAGGATAATGGGCAGCCTTCACGACTCATTCTGGTCTTTCCCAGAGGAAGATGCCGCTCCGCGGCAGGAAAGCCTTGGGACAAGGACAAAGCGGAGGCTCCTAGGCTCGGCTCGGGTCCCGCAGGCGACGCGTCCGGGACCGCCTCAGGAAAAAGGGCACCGCCCCGGACACCGCCCCCGCAGTACCCAAGAGCCGTTCCGACCGGCCGGGGCTGCAGCCCGCCCGACAGCGGGGTAGGATTGGGGCCGCGGCGGCATGTGCCCGAGTCGCCGCGCCTGTGGGAAGGCAGTGGCCCGTGGCCTAAGTCAGTAGCAGGGAGGCGGTCCCCAGAGAGTCCGAGCCTGACCGCCGCCTCCTCCCCGCGGCCCCAACAGCCGACCAAGACGCCCCTCCCGGGCGACAGACACGCTCTCCCCGCGGGCCGGGGCCTCCTTGTCCCGCCAGCCCACCAAGAGTCACTCACCCGGCCAGAAAGTCCCCGTCGCTGCCGCCCCCGCCGGCAGGCCCTCAGGCCTCGCTCGGAGCACCGCCACCGCCTCTCACCACAGCGTAACCACGGGTACCTCAGCCGGGCCCCGGGCCCCGGAAGCACTTCCTTCCGGAACCGCCTTTTCCGGCCCTTACCCTGGCCCCCGCCCACCGCCCTCAGCCTGCTCAACCGCAGATGCCGGCTCTCAACTCCCTCCCAGCGAGCGTACCCCGCCCAGCCTGCTCAGACCAGAGCGCCTGCGCCCTCTATCGGCCGTTCCCACCTCTGCCCTGTTTCTGTGCGCATGCGTAGTCTTCCGCCCGCCTGCTGGGAAGGAAGAAAGGAATGCTTTGGGCATTCCAGGTCCAGGGATCCTGGGAATTGGTCAGGGGTTAGAGCCCACCCCTCAGGGGCAGGAGCTTGGTCTCTTGAGCCTTTTACACAGGAGACAAAGGTGGCACGGCAGATGAGCCTCAGCCTTCCAGCCCTTGGCTTGGCCTTCAAAACCCCTCTAAGACAGCCCACCTGAATCTGTACCACTGTAGCCTCTCTCCTTGCCTATTCAATCCCTAACCATTCCCCATGACCTCAAACTCAGCTCCTATCTGGAACAAAACCTCTGCTCTGCACCTCCCAAACAGGTTAATGGTACCAACAACTCCCCACTATCTAATTAAAAATATTGACTCATTTTTGTCTGTTATTTTAATTGCTCTCATCCCACACTCCATCCACCAGCCCCAAAAGTAGTATGTCCAGTGTCACTCCTGGAGTTTTTTCACTTGACACTTTGCTATCCTTTTTAGCCCTCTCAAGATTTCTCTTTCTGGGTCCACCCCATCTAGCAGTACCACCCGTACCCTCCCTTGTCACTGTCCTCCATAGATTGCATTTGTTTTCCTCTCTGTTTGCATGCATTACAGCCACCATCCTGATAAATCCAGCACCCATTACTGAGTTATATTTCCCTAACTTCCTCAATCCAGATGACTTTACCTCTACTCTACGTATTCCCAGGCACATATTCCAGAAAATCTAGACATCCATCACTTTATATTGCTCCATCTCCAAAACCTTAAATTTAAAAATCCCATTTCTTTGGACTCACAATCCCCAATCCTTGAAGTCCTATCTGTCCCTTAGACATAGTATACTTGTTCTTTGAAGACCACAGAGCTTTCACACTCCCGAACCTTCCACCTAACATAAGCCCATGACCTTTGACTTCAACCATTCTTGGAAGCAGAGCCCATTGAATTGCCCTTTGACACATCCTAACATCAAACCACCACCTTGAAACACTCCCATCTATCTGCATTTTCCATTCCTTCATCTGTGTTTCCAAGCACTGCTTGGGACGAAAAAGCCACACAACTATAATAGATTGATACCACTACAAATTTATGGGCACCCACCACAGTGGAGAACCTTGGTGCCTCTTAAGGGTCCTTTCATGTGACCTCTCTCATTTCCAATCATTGCTGTTACTAACCCTTACCACTCTCTTCAAGCCCCATGCCAATAATCATATTCCTCTTTTTATACATGATTTTGCTTCCTGTTTTGCAGAGATAATTCCTCATCATAATCTGTAAGGCCTTTCATTACCTGGTTCATCCTTACCTCTCTAGCTTCTCTCCTCCTTGTATTCAATGCTCTGGCTGTACTGAAATGTTTGCAATTTTAGACAAATACTGCCTTTACTTCCACCCACTGCAGATATTGTCCCTTCTATCTGGTACAGGTGTAAAACCATTTTATGTGCATATATATGGCTTCAATTCTGGAAGGCTTTCTTCAATTGTACCTTCAAGAATTGTTTCTGCTCCATTCATCTGGTCTCTCTTTTAGGAAAAACAATTATCTGCGGTAGTTCTCTGTTTTACCATTTTCATCTCTTTATCCTTTTTTGGCAGTCTGGTAGACCTCACATTTGCTTACAATGTTACTGATAAGGTTTCCCAATGTTACTGATAAGATTTCTGCTGATGTTTCTATTTAACTTCTGTCCTTGAGATGTTAGTTTCCTTGCATCCATTGTTTGCTTCTTTCTCTTTCCCCCACCTCTCTTTCAGGTTATACTATTGACTTTTTATCCCCTCCTTTCATTTCCCTATGAATTTCAGTTCTGGTTTTATAGAATTCCTACCTTCTTGCAAAAAGAAAGCTAACCAGGTCATAAAATTTTTCTTTTGGATTCTGTCGTCATTTTCATGAGTATGCTCTTCTTTCTCTTCCATGATTAGGTTTTGTGCACTTCGTTTATATATCTATATATTCTTTTGACTCATCTTTGAATAAAGTGATCTTTATTCAGACTTATTACTGATTAACAGCACAAGTAGAAGGCCCTCTCCTCTGCTATTTGCGTGGACAGAGAGGTTAAGTGATTTGCACACGTTCACATAGCTCGTGGTGTGTATATGAAAAGCAAGCATGCACATATACACAGAACAAGCTTAAGAGAAATGGAATATTATCTGACTTTCCATTTACTCTGCTTTGTCTTTGGTTTTCATGCAAAGCCAAATCTACCATAGAATGTTGAGTATGCTTAATACAAGGATTCTGTATTAGTAAGAGTAAGTTATGCTACAATAACAACCCCAAAATCTCAGTGGCTTCTAACAAATGTGTTTCTCACTTACATTTCAAGTCCATCATGGATCAGCTTTGGTTCTTCTGTCTGGGGCCCAGGCTGAAGGAACAGACCCTTTGTGAGACATGGTTGGTGTCATATCAGAAGAAAAGGAGCGAGAGGGAGCATGCACTAGATCCTCAAGCTTCTGCCTTAAAGCTGAATCAGAAGCTCTGCGGGTGGGGCTCAGCACAGTTTCACCAAACCCTCTGGTGGATTCTGAAGAAGTTTGAGAACCACTTCTCTATTGCTTGTATTCCCTGTAAACCAGAAGATGAACATAGAGGCTTGATAAAATCCAGAGTAGTTTTTTAATTCTTAAACCAGAAATTATTAAACCAGAAAAAGTGCCAAGTCAAAAGAAAACAGGGAATCAGGCTTTGACACAGACTTAGACCACGTGCCCATTGACATTTTTTGGAGGGACACTACTACTGGGGAAACCTGCCAGCTGCCCTGACATGTATCTCCTGCCGTCCTTCTGAATAGCTTGCTTTTTAAAATGCTGATGTGAGAAAAAGATAATTAGGAAGAAGTAGGACAAATAGCTTTTTCATCCCTTCACAATGCTGTTGGCCCAGATTTTTCTCATAGTTTCTGAATAGATGGTTTGTGTTGTGCTGGTCATACCTTCAGCGTCTATATTAGTACTTCTAACCCAGGGCTGCGAGAACCTTGTGAGTTTTCTCTTTCCTTAACTATCTGACTGGTTGTGTTACTCAGTACTTTTAACGACCTTGATGTATAAATGCTTACCTGGCCCTGTGTCCTCCTTTTCTTCCATCCCATGAGATAGGCATTTTTGTGGACTCTGTCCTTTCCTTACTTGTACATTTTTAAGGGCTTTGTCAACAGAAGGGCACAGATGGAACCGATTTATATTGTTTGGAAGAAATGTTTTTACACAGGCTTATGCTGCAGTGCTCATTCTAGTCATTGGCCTTCTGTTTTCCTACTAAGATGGAGGACAAATTCCTAAACAAGATTTGGTAGGTGCTAATGATAAGGAAAATATTGAACACAGCCGTCAAGGTCAGCAAATCGCTTTTTTCCTCCAGTTGGCAAAGCACTCGCAGCTCTCCCCTCCTCCAGGCTCCTCTTTTGCCCATGCATGCCGAAATGCCACGTATCAAAATAATATAAATTGCTCCCCTTGCTTGTGCTCAGGGCTCAGACCTTGGAAGATTGCTTCCGTCTGAGCCCGCCACTGTAAAATAAACCTCAAAACTCCAAGACCTGAGTGTGACGCTTGGTTCTTCCATCAGTGATCCAGTCCAGGTTTTCCAGTACTTTCCATAACACTACCAACCCATTGGCCCCATAAATTATTTCTGATGAACTCTTTTGTACTGTAATATGTGAAGTGGCTTGGCCCAGGTTCTGAAAGTTATATAATATTTGTGGTTTTAAAACAATGTGCCACAGCTCAGCAATTACTTTGAAAATGTTTTGATTGATGTGGACTACCTACATTGATGCAAGGCAACAAGGAATGATAAGGTTTGGTTTAAAACTTAATTTTACTGCAAAATATTTTTTTAAAGTTTATTACTCCCCTTTATTAAAGTCCCCAGTGCTCCTGAAGCTCTTCCCCCAAATCCTAGAGATATTCAATACACCTACCTACTCCTTGCCATAAGCAGTCTGGTTTGTGTCCTGGCACAACCCAGACACCAATTCAAAAGTCATTGGGCTGTCAAAAATTTCAGTGGCCTGGTAAATTTGCTTTAACTCTGTGCTTATGAGGCACCCCACCACTTCTTATTTTTTCACACCAGTTCTCACTCTCCCTTAAACTGGGAGGGACAGATAACATGATGGACCCTGTGGTAGATTTCATAATAATAGAAGCAAAATATTCACTGTCCTTCTCTTCCCAGGTCCCCTGCTTAAAAATTGAAAATGACATTTGTGGCTCACATTATATTCTCATTAGACAACTCTAGTCTAAATCAGTCATGGCATGGAAGAGACAACTAAGTTATCTACCAAATTACTTGTGCTCTCCCTTGCATAGAAGAGCAGTACCTCTGGTAAGAAGCAAACCAGCCAGGGACTACACTTCCCAGCATCCCCTGTACCTATGTGGGGCCAAGTGACTAGTTCTTGCCAATGAAATATGAGTGGAAATGGTATGCATCCCCCATAGGCCAAGGTGGCTGGGAAGCAGTGTGCCTTCTCCATACTTTTTCCCTATTCTGTTGGCTTGATGGAGAAAAACATTGTCAGCATTGGAAGACAAGGGAACTACAAATGGAAGGAGCCTGGTTCCGGAGTTACTACTCAGAGGAGAGTTGTAATAGGGCACATCTGGTTCGGACTTCACATGAGGGACAAAAACGTTCTAATGTATTTGAGACATTCTGCATCTTGTGGAGGGTGGGGGGGAAGTTGTTACAGAAACTGGCATTTCCTTAACTAATACATGTGATTATCTTCCTTCCCTTCAGCCAGTGATTAAGTTAGGGGTCTGTGTAAGACCTGTATTAG